CTCCATTATTGCCCATATCTTATGCAAACGTGGCAAGGTAGTCAAGCTGCGCAGCCCCCCTTTCCATTTTTCTCATCTTCCTCATCCATCCATCCTTCCATCCCCTGCAGAACAAACACAAACTCCCGTCATATCCACCCTCCATCTCTCCACGTCATCGATCCGCGTCCTCATCAATCCAACGGCTCACACCCCTCCCTCCAATAAAAAATGGCCTAACCACCCCTCTGAACCATAGACACGAAACACAAACCTATAGGCCCGCACCACCCCACTCCCCGTTCAGGCTTATCCCGAGTCGCCCCAGCCCACTCATGGAGTTCCTTCTCTGGAGCATTTTTCGCGTCTTCCCAATCTGCATATAACTCATCCTCTCCGACGATCGGATAGAATGTAATAAAAGACAAAGCATCCATCTCAGCAAAAGAAATCCAGGTCAGACGCAGAGTCGGGCATGATGAGTGGAACGTTAACTTTTAACGGATTGATGACGTCATGTATACAGAGGGGCTGATTTGCCACCGAAGATGAGTTGAGGGGTTCTTTTACGCGTGAACTGACTTGAGGGGCTGATCTGCCACCATACGACGAGTTGAGGGGCTAATCTGCATGTTTTGCCTATACAATATCAAAACTAAATACAACTCACAATGTTTGAGTTACAACATCATCCCACCCAATGGCCAAGGGAGGGGGGTGCCAGGGAGGCGCTATCTCCCGCTGAAATTTGAAAAAGTTTACAAATTAACATATGAAAAATTATCTTGCTCCCCTGAAATTTAAAAATTTTATAAATTAGTATATAAAAAATTTTCTCCTTTCCCCTGAAAAAAAATTCTAGCTCCACCCCTAATCGCACCTTCTTAGTACTATGGCAACATAATCTAGGATTAAGCAACTAGTCCAAAAAATAAAAATACACTGTTTGTCATGGAATCATCAGCCACTAAAAACTTTTAACTTGAATCGAGTTAAAACATTCTTTTAATGTCAACGGCACCATTGTTAAACAATTTTTCATTTCTAGTGAGCGAAATTTTCCATGCTATTGCAAACCATTAAAAAAAAAATTGTTATCAAAATTAATCTCAACTTGTACAATTTTAATATAGTTTATTAAAATTAATAAACTACATTAATTTTGAGTTGTAAGTATGATAATTTATAAAGATAATAAAGAGTGAAATGAAAATACCATAAAGTCTCATGCAATAAGTATAATATTTAAGAATTTTAAAGATAAAAATTAATATACATACTAAATTTAAAAATAAAAATAAAAATTTCCGAAAATTAAG